GGGTTTGTGCATTTGTGAGTGTATTTTATAATAGAGTGCAATCAACTATGTAATTGTTTCATTGTCTTTAAAAATATTTGATATATTTCATAAAAATGATCAAACCATGAAATACTGAAGCTCCACCTATAGAGTGGCCCCAGGAATATGCGTGTTAGAATGCAGTTTCCTAAGCTCCAACCCCAGATCCTCCTCAATTTGATGGTGGCAATGCCCCCTCGCAGGGCCTGCTGTGCTGGGTTCTCCACATTCCCCGCCCCCAATCAATTCCAGAGCTGAATCCCACTTTCCCCGGCCCCTGTAGGGCTAGGAGGGTCAGGCTCCTGCAGTTGCTGGCTCTGTCACCTCCCCATCTGTAAATAGTCCCCCCCCTTCCCGTTTGTCTCTTTGACCATCTGAGAACTCCATGTCCTGCTGGGATTTTGATAGTAGGTTAGACACATGCCAGTTTTCTTTCTCAATTCCTATAGATGTTAGTACTTCTCTTTAATTACATCTGGGTTATATAATCACTATTCTGGGCTTATCTCTTCCTACCTAACTTGACTATAAACTCCCTGAAGAGGAAATAGAGCTTCCTCATCTCTGTGCCCCTCATGAAACCCATCACCCAACTGTGGCAGGCAGGAGCCCTTGCATGGAGAAGGGCAAATACTGAAATAAGGTTTAACTCATAGATGTCTATGTGTTTGTAATAGGTTATGAAGCAACTGCTCTGAAATTATTCCCAAGATGAAGAGGTTTTAATATGAGGAAATAGTTTTAAATATTACTTTTTTTCTCTGGAAATAGCCTCCTCATGATCTCTGTCTTCTGAAAATAGAAATTCATGTCAAGATGGTACATTATTTAACTATTCTATGCCAAGGTCATTTTATGAGCTCGACATTAATTGGAGAAGGACATGACATTTTAAGTCCCGTCCACATGGATTCGAACCTATTTATCCATGGAAATTGCTGCTGCCACTTCTTAGGAACACACAGCATTCCATTTAAAGATAGACTGTTCAGAATAACAAAATCAATGAGAGAGAGAAACATTGATTGGTTGTCTCCTGTATGCACCCTGACTGGGAATCAAACCCAAAATCTTTTGGTGTATGGGACAACACTCCAACCAACTGAGCAATCCAATAAAACTCTACAATAAAACAATGTCTTAACTGCAAAATGGGCAAAAGATCTAAATAGACATCTCACTAAAGAAGATATATGGATAGTAAATAAGTATATAAAAATTGCTCAACATCATGTGTCATCAAGGGATTGCAAATTCGAACAAGAAGATACCTACTAGAATGGCTAAAATCCAAAATACAACACCAAACTGATGAGAATGTTGAGCAAGAGCAACTCTCATTTATTGCTGGTGGGGATGCAAAATGTTACAGCCACCTTATTCATTTATTTATATTTCAAATTATATTTACTTACTTAAATTGTAGTTGACATACAATATTATATTAGTTTCAGGTGTACAATTTGACATCATATACTTCTGATGCGATCATCACAATAAGTTTAGTAACAATCTGTTACTGTATAAACTTATTACAATATTATTGACTATATTCCCCATGCTATACATTATTTCCCTGTGACTTTCGAATTGCATAACTAGAATTGTTACCTCTTATTCTTCTTCACTATTTCTACTATTCCCTCTTCTTTGACAACCATCAATTTGTCCTCTATGAGACTGTTTCTGTTCTTTTGTTGTTGTTTCATTTAGATTCCACATTTAAGTAAAATCATATGGTATTTGTCTTTCTCTGTCTGACTTCTTCACTCAGCAAAATGCCTTCCAGGTCCATCCATGTTGTTGCAAATGGCAAGATTTCATGCTTTTTATGGCAACTAATATTCCATTATTTCACATCTTTATCCATTCATTTATCAATGGACATCTAGTTTGCCTCCATATCTTGGCTATTGTAAATGTTGCAATCAGCATTTGAGTGTATGTATCTTTTTGAGTTAGTGTTTTTTATTTTCTTCAAAATACCCAGAATTGGAATTGCTGGGTTGTAAGGTGGTTTTATCTTTACTTTTTTAAAAAAATATATTTTTTATTGATTTTTCACAGAGAGGAAGGGAGAGGGATAGAGAGTTAGAAACATCGATGAGAGAGAAACATCGGTCAACTGCCTCCTGCACACTCCCCACTGGGGATGTGCCCGCAACCAAGGTACATGCCCTTGACCAGAATCGAACCTGGGACCCTTGAGTCCGCAGACCGATGCTCTATCTACTGAGCCAAACCGGTTAGGGCTATCTTTACTTTTTTTGATGAAATTCTATAGTGGCTACAGCAATTTACAATGCAACAAATTGTGCACAAGGGTTTGCTTCATCAACACTTTTATTTGGATGGCTTTATTTTATTATTTTCTTGTCTGGTCGCTGTGGCTCGGACTTCTAATACTATGTTGAATAAAAGTGGTGAGAGTGAGTATCCTGGTTTTCTTACTGATATTAGAAGAAAAGCTTTCAGCTTTTCATCATTGAGTATGATGTTAGCTGTGCATTTGTCATGTATGGCCTTTATTATGTTGAGGTATGCCCCCTCTATACCTACTTTATTGAGTGTTTATCATAAATGTATGTTGAATTTTGTCAAATGCTTTGTCTGCTTCTATTGAGATACGACTTTTATTTTTGGATTTGTTAATGTGGTGTAACAGGTTGATTGATTTGCGTTTATTGAACCATTCTTGCACCCCTGTAATAAATCATGGTATAATTCTTTTAATATGTTGTTAAAATTTATTTTGCTAATATTTGCTGAGAATTTTTGCACCTATGTTCATCGGGGATATTGTCCTATAATTTTCTTTTATTGTAGTGTCTTTGTTTGGTTTTCGTATCAGGGTAATGCCAGCCTTGTAGAATGAGTTTGAAAGCATGCCTTCCTCTTCAAATGTTTTGGAATTTTTGAGAAGGGAAGATATTAATTCTTCTTTAAATGTTTTTCTTCTGATTGTGGAGGTTGTTTGTTTGTTTGAAGGATTTTGATTACTGCTTTAATTTCATTGCTAGTAATTGGTCTGTTCAAAGTCTCTGTTTCAGTATTGGAAGATTGTATGTATTTAGAAATTTATTTATTTATTCTAGATTGTCCAATTTGTCGGCATATGATTATTCAGAGTATTCTTTTTTAAAAATATATATAAATTTTTATTGATTTCAGAGAGGAAAGAGAGAGAGAGAGAGAGAGAGAGAGAGAGAGAGAGAGAGAAACATCAATGATGAGAAAGAATCATTGATCAGCTGCCTCCTGCATGCCCCCAACTGGGGATTGAGCCCACAATCCGGGCATGTGCCTTGACCGGGAATCAAATCATGACCTCCTGGTTCGTAGGTCGATGCTCAACCACTGAGCCACGCCAGCTGGGCCAGAGTATTTTTTAATGATCCTTTGTAATTCTGGCATGTCAGTTGTAATCTCTTTTCTTTTATTTATGATTCTATTTAATTGTGTTCTCATTTTTTCTTGACAAGTCTTATTAAAGGTTTGTCAATTTTACTTATCTTTTGAAAGAATCAGCTCTAGTTTTATTAATATTTTCTATTTTTTTAGTCTATTGCATTTATTTCTGTGCTGACCTTAATTATTTCCTCCCATCTATTCACTTTGTATTTTTCTAGTTCTTTTTTCCTTGATATAAAGTTAAATTGTTTATTTGGGGTTTTTCTTGTTTCATGAGGTAGGCCTATATCTCTATAAACTTTCCTCTTAGAACTGCTTTTGCTACATCCTGTAGATTTTGAAAAGTTGTGTTCCCATTTTCATTTGTCTCAAGGTAGTTTTTATTTTCTCTTTGACTTTTTCATTGACCCATTGATTGTTCAGTAACATGATGTTTAGTCTACATGTGTTAATGTTGTTTTTCCATTTTTTCTTCTTGTAATTGATTTCTAGTTTAATTCTGTTGTGGTTGGAAAAGTGTCTGGTATGAAAAGTGTTTGAATTTATTGAGACTTGTTTTGTGGTATAACATATGATCTTTTCTGGAGAATGTTTAATGTGCACTTGAAAAGAATTGCAGTTTTTGGATGAATTGTATACATATTTATAAAGTTCATCTGATTAAATATGTCATTTTGGCTAATATTTCCTTATTGATTTTCTGTCTGAGTGATCTATTCATTGATGTAAGTGGGGCATTAAGGTTCCCTACTATTCTTTTATAACTGTTACTTTCTCCTTTTCTCCCTGTAAATATCTGCTTTATGTATCTAGGTGCTCCTATGTTGGGTGCATAAATATTTATGAATGTTATATCCTCTTCTTGCACTGATGCTTTTATCATTATTTAATGCCTTCTTGGTCTCTTTTTTGTCCGTTTAAAAATGTTTTATTTGTATTAGGTACCAGAGAAATGGAAGATCCAGAAACTATTGCCAAAAGCCAGGATATCTGGCCAGAGGAACATCTCTTTTCTCTTTTTGCTTGAATAACAAAAGCATGTTGGTAGTGGTCGACCTGGCATGGCGGACACAGTCCTTGTGGAGGATTTAAAGTCTTGGGCCACCAAGGGAGTGTGCATCAGGGTCAAAACTGAGGGTTCCAGACTCGGGTTTCCCAGATAATCATTGGGGACCATTTGGAGAGAAGGACTGATAGAGGGAGAGGAGAATCTGAGCTGTTAATGAGCCATCAGCATTTTAGTCGATGCATAAGAGGAAGAGAAAAGAAGCAAAGTCAAAAAGCACAACCATTTAGGAAACACATTTGAACGCACTTTTGGGGAAGGATTCTCCACAAACAGAAGAACAGAACGTTGTTCTCTGCAGGTGTCACCGAGAGCTGCAAAGGCCAGCAGCCAGGGCTGCATCCCAGCGAAAGGGAGGGTCATGCTCCAGGGCTCTGACCGCTAGGTGGTGCTTGAGGCCCGCGACAGGGAAAAAGCAAAGAGAAGGGGTCCCCGGGGAGCCCGACACGGAGGCGGGGCTGCGAGGCTGTACAAAGGCCAGAGCGGCAGCCCGGCTCAGGGCGCCTGTGCGCTGTCTGAGGAGTCCCGTCCTGGGGTGATGGCAGTTCGGCTCCCGGCAGCCGTCCCAGCCTGTGGATGCCAGTGTCCCGAGCGAAGGGCCCACGGGCTGCTGAGCAGGAGAAGAGGAGCGGGGTAGAGCGCTGGTAAATAGCCCACTTTTCTTTGTACTTAAAATCGCCTTGAAAGGAATGCAAAGGCAGGCCTCACTGTCACTGTCGCGGGCAAGAGAGCTACTTGGGTATTTACACAGCTTGATATGATGATTAATGTAATTGTATAATTGGCCACTCACTATCCCTGAGACAGAACTAGGCAAAGTGACAAATGCTTACATTTCAGTAAAAACTTGTTATTGATGATGAAAAATGATGGCAGAAATTCCAACTCCCAGATGTGCTGAGTTTGGAGGGCAAAGGGATTTTTCAATATAAATCATGGGAGAGAAATTGGGCAACAAAGGAGTGATCTTGCTCTAGTTCTTGGTCAATTCAAATCCCTCGCTTCTTTGTGCTATTTGTATGTGGAACTTATACAAGTATTTATTAATCAGACTTTGCGGAATTCAAATGCAGAATCAGGGAAAATATTTGTTGAGGGGAAAACAGCATTCTGTGTGTCTCAAATTCAACATGCATGTGCAACTAAATTTGTGAATTGAAGACAGTAACTATTTGTGCTTATATTAAAATTAATGAGTCACCTTGGTTACAGTCTTAATTATAACTATGGAGACTGAATCCTAGTGGATTTTAGGAGTGTCAGGACAAATCTTAGGAAGACACCTTACTTGAAATATTGGAAGGACTACTCTGTAAAGTATATGATTGTCTAACCACTATATATCTGAAACTAGTATAAAATAATATTTAATGTAAACTGTAACTGAAAAATTTAAAAAGATGGTCCTGCCATCTTGGACAGGAGTAATACAAATATTTGTATAAGCACAATGTTACTACTCTAATAATTGTAAAAATGTTACTAATGTCAACAAAGCATGACATTTATGTTTATTTTACATAGTAGATTATTTAAAAAAGAAGACATCCATCTGTTTCTCTTAAGAGAATATGGGCCTACATATCCTTCAGAAATCTAAGCTCACTGGAGGAAATGCCGTGGCGTAGAGGCCTTAGGAGTGTGCAAATCCGGAGACTGGAAGGGGTTTTATAGGCTGTGTGTTGGGAACACTTTTGAGAGTGAACTTGGGTGCCAGGACAACAAGCATAAAAAGTGAAACCGTCTCAGGCACACTGAGATGTGTGGTCACTCTACTAAGAGGTCTGTGAAAGAATGGGGGCCTAGAAGGAGGAGGACCGGAAGGCTGGTGACAGTTCTAAGCCTGCGTGTTGGAAGGACACTGTTCCAGGAGTCCGGGTCCACGGCAGGATGTGTGTATTCTAATACAGAGAATCCTGGTACTCAGTGAGTGCCCTGAGTCCATTCACCCCCACTCTCAGGATTGGCTTGCTTCTGGAATGCTGCTGTGTTTCTTTGGTGCACGGTTAACCTCTCTGAATCATGAATGAAAACCTGTTTTGCAGTAAAGTTGGTGCCAAGAAGAGGAGCAATGAATTCCTCATTTCACCTGTATTTCTTAGCGCTCAACCTGAATGCCACAGAGGGCAACCATTCAGGACCGAATGTCAAGAACAAGTCCTCGCCGTGTGAAGATATGGGCATCGCCGTGGAGGTGTTTCTGACTTTGGGTCTCATCAGCCTCTTGGAGAACATCTTGGTCATAGGCGCCATAATAAAGAACAAGAACTTGCACTCTCCCATGTATTTCTTTGTGTGCAGTTTAGCTGTAGCTGACATGATGGTGAGCATGTCCAACACCTGGGAGACCATCGCCATATACTTAATAAGTAATAAGCACCTGGTGATAGCAGATGCCTTTGTGCGTAATATTGACAATGTGTTTGACTCCATGATCTGCATCTCTGTGGTGGCTTCCATGTGCAGCTTGCTGGCCATCGCGGTGGACAGATATGTCACTATCTTCTATGCCCTGCGCTACCACCACATCATGACAGTGAAGCGTTGCGGGGTGATCATTGCGTGCATCTGGATCTTTTGCATCGGCTGTGGCATTGTTTTCATCATTTACCACGAGTCCACTTACGTCGTCATTTGCCTCATCTCCATGTTCTTCACCATGCTGTTCCTCATGGTGTCTCTGTACATACACATGTTTCTCCTGGCACGCACGCATGTCAAGCAGATAGCAGCTCTGCCTGGATACAGTTCCGTGCGGCAGAGGACCAGCATGAAAGGCGCCATCACCCTGACCATGTTGCTAGGCGTTTTCATTGTGTGCTGGGCTCCGTTCTTCCTCCATCTCATTCTGAGGATCTCTTGCCCTCAGAATATCTACTGTTCTTGCTTTATGTCTCACTTCAACATGTACCTCATACTCATCATGTGCAATTCTGTGATCGATCCTCTGATATACGCCTTTCGCAGCCAAGAGATGCGGAAGACCTTTAAGGAGATTATTTGTTGCCATGGCTTCAGGATACCCTGTAGGTTCCCTAGCAGCTATTAAAAATGCCCTCTGCAGCTTTCTTTTCTCCTTCCTTCACTTTATAATGAAGTCAGTTAGGGGTAATCAAGATAACGCAAAATCAAAACTGTGCATTCCATTTATCTTTTCTCTCGCTCTTGAATTAGTACTTAAGATGCACCCCCCCCGCTTTTTTTCCTGTGGTGGTGGTTGGGCAGATGTGCACATGCAACTTATCCATTTTGGAAATGGTCTGTGACCATTTATTATTGGCTCATTTTCCTGCTACTTTTTCTCCTACTCCCACCCATTGCTGGGGGCCCCATCCATCTTCCATCTAGTGTGTGCTCAGGGTCTACACAGGATGGAGAGCTGACCATAATGGAAGAAAACTTGTGAATATTTACATCATGTGATTGCTTTCTCTCCCCAGAAACTGTTTTGTAACTTCCTTGATATCCCTGGGACTTATCCACGCTTTCCAGGGTAAAATAGAGTGAAGTTCTTTCCATTTGAAAGTTCCTGTTTATTTGTTACGGGATTTCTCTATAGCTCTTCTTTCTTGAACTTTTGGTTTAATGGCTTGTGTTCATAATTGTCCAAGGATGGAATTTCCTTAATTCTACTTCTGTCAATCATGATTTTGCTTTTCCCCAGATATAAAACTTGATGCTATAAACCTTACATCATGTGGTGTGAAAGTTTCTGTGACTCTTCTTACTGTCTTATTCTGACTCAGTCTGGGGTTTCCAGATGAATGTCTTGGGGACATGTCATGGGCTCCAAGTGTCCCCATGCCTCCCTCACATACTCCCCACCCCCACTGTAACACATGCCCATAGCCACGCCATTTTTTACTTTCTAAGATGGGTCTGTCTCCGAGTCTGAAACCCTGTCACTCGCTGTATACTTTGCACATCACAATCTGACTCCAGCAGCCAGAGGAGGTCAGTACCCATCTCGCACCCAGGGAGTCCCGTCTTCTCCCGTGTGGAATGGAGTTTGAAAATCTGAGTTCAGGTCCTGGCTCTGTCATTGACAGGTGATGTTGCCTTAATCATCTCATTTCAGGTTCCACATCTGTGCTGACCTAACAGGGTGGTCGTGAGAACTGCATGCGGAAGTGTGAGAATACCTTGGGAACTAGTCAAGCACAACAGGGATTGGGTATTTATTTTAAAGAAATGCTGCAGATGGGGTCAATACTAGGGGATGATGCAGAAGGCAGCCGTGAGAGCAATAGTCTGGAAACCAGGAGGCCCGCTGACCGGAGCAGCTGTGTGAACTCTTGGTCTCAGTGTTCTTATCTGAAGTGAAGGGCTTGGTCTTTATAGCTCCTGTATTCCATTCTGTTATTTTTGGTGTTAATGACTTCTCTTTTTTGGGGGGTATTCACTTCTATACTCTTTCCAGTGAAGGAAAATTCTAAATAAAACAGTGTACTACTAGGGTCATTTCATAATGAGCCGTTGAAGCCCTTTGGGGCAGAGGAGCTTCTGGGTGTAGAACACATAAATAACTTACAGATGTGACCCCACCCCTGGCAGCTCAGAGTCCACACGCACACACAGAAAATGGTACTGGCACGAGGAGGAAAGTGCATAAGACATCCAAATCTTTGGAATATGGCAGGTTGTTAGCAAATGAGTTTTGAAGGGGCAGCTAGCCCTTCAAATGTTTCCTGTTCCTTTTAGCTGAACAGGCTATGTGTATCTATGAATGGGAAGTAAGTGATCTCTATGTAATTATGACGGAAACCACAGTCCATGTTTACATGGGATGTCTCAGGAACTCAGGTTCCATGAAAGCCAACCGCTCTGCTGTCCTGTTCATATCTGTGGCTTTGTTGCCTGCAGTAGCTTCTGATACAGAGTAGGCACTCCACTGCTGTTTGCTATTGTGACTGAGTAAATGTATATTGAATCCGCTGCCTAACAGCCCTGGGTGCTCCGGGAGGTCACCAGGGTTCCAATTCTGTGCGTAATCACACTTTGGCCCTTGTAGTTTGCAGTCGGCTCCCCCTGGGAGCTCACCAGGCTACCCCTCTGCTCTGGGTGCCTCATGACTTCAGACAAGGTCGGACCTTTCCTAGGAAGATCTTTAAGGAAATGCTCACATGTCTTTTAATCTCTATAAATAGTGCAGAAATAACCCACGTATTCAGATGTGTCTTCAGTTGGAAGAAATACATGTAATATAGTGATTTGATAAATATCTGTAAATTAGCCCAGCCCTGGGACTCCAACACAAAATTCCCTACACAAAACATCCATATAGTTGTCAAATACTGCATGGTATTGTATTTTAACTCTTTCTGCTTCTGTCGGAACTTCATTTGATAAAGCAATCCTACCTAATAAAGAAGGAATATGCTAATTGACCCTCACACCATCGCAAAGATGACGGCGCCCACAGCCAATAAGGAGGGAATATGCTAATTGACTGCCCCACCCTCAAAGATGGTGGTGCCCACAGCCAATAAGGAGGGAATATGGTAATTACTCCCCCACCCTCAAAGATGGTGGCACCCACAGCCAATAAGGAGGGAATATACTAATTGCTGCCACGTCCTCAAAGATGGCAGTGCCCACAGCCATAAGATGGCCGGCAGGGGAGGGCAGTTGTGGGCGATCAGGCTAGCAGGGGAGGGCAGTTGGGGGCAATTGGGCTGGCAGGAGCACAGTTAGGCATCGATCAGGCTGGCAGGGGAGTGATTAGGGGGTGATCAGGCTGGCAGGCAGAAGCAGTTAGGGGCAATCAGGCAGGCAGGCAGGTGAGTAGTAGGGAGCCAGCAGTCCCAGATTGTGAGAGGGATGTCCTATGGGATCGGGCCTAAACTGGCAGTCGGACATTCCCTGAGGGGTCCCAGATTGGAGAGGTGCAGGCTGGGCTGAGGGACACCCCCCTCCAGTGCACGAATTTCATGCACCGGGCCTCTAGTGGTTAATAAAATGTGTGCTATTCCAAGTGTTTTTGGTGTTTTTGCCCATTTGTCAGCAGCTGCAGCAAAAGGAGAAGGTATATTCATCAGTGAGTTAGCATGAAGTTTCCCCGACGGTATTTATTGCCTGAATGATGGCCGTTTCTCAGTTCAAGATGATTTAACTCTTAAAAATCAAATAATACTGTACACTTGACATTATACATTGTCTTAAAGTCTGTCTCTTGGTAAATAAGTATTGTGAGGATGTCACTAACCATGTGCTTAGTTGGGGGCTAGAAGCAGCGGTCATCAGATACTCTCTGCCATCAAAGAGCTTATGGGACAAATTATTTAAGACAGGAATATTTTAAGATATGTGAATACACTGTCCACAGTTCAAGATGCTACACATAAATGTGAATTTATGAGGTGCAGACTATACCTGCTGTAAAATGAGAGCTGTGATAGCTCCTGTGTCTGTAATGGCAATTTTCACCGATGGATTCAGGGAGCATATTAGAGTTTTGTGGTGAAGGTGTAACTTTGAAACCCCCGCCCCCACCCCAGATTGTCTCTACATCACGTTCATATGTGGCTCCTTTTGAGCTGGAGACCATTAAACTAAAAGGACAAGTTATCTGATAAATGATGGTGGGACCGGGGACCACACAGTCACTCCCATTCAAGCAGAGGACGAGTAGGAGACAGGGCGTTACATTTCCAGGGCTCAACAGCAACCTGTGGCTGGTGCTACCTCATCAGACAGTGCAGATGGGCACTGACCTCCCAGGCTGCTGCGTGTTTGTCCTCTGTCCCTGTGGCTTTTTCTTTCCTGCATCCTAATCACATATGCTTTGAGTCTATCAGGTTGTGAGGGAGAGTCTTGCTTTTAGTTTCTTTTCCCTGAGAGCTTTTGTCCAAGTGAAAGGATTCACTGGATCCTTTTACTATATCCCTCTTGGCATTTATTCTGAGACAGCTTCCTTAATCTACTAAGAGGATTTGCAGTGCTGGTGAAACCTGTCCCCTTGATTTGATCCTAGTGCCACATCTGAGTTTTAATTGGCCTATGTTATTCAACGTTTTAAATTTAATTTTTTACTTATTGGGTTGAGAAGAGCTATCTCTTCTCATGCTGGAGTCCCTGACTGTGGATTTTCTTGAAAAAAAAAAAAGTTTAATTTTAAATCTGGTTTCAAATGTATCAGTAAAGAATCCTATTATTTATTGATTGATTGATTGTAAAACACATATAACATAAATTTACCATATTAACAATTTTTAAGTTTACAGTTCAGTGGTATTAAGTGCATTCATACTGTTGTTTTACCATCTGAAATCCCTTTTATTCCTGCTTGCATTCAATTAATTCTTTCTGTAGCTCATCACTCCCTTGTAGTATTTCATTAAATGCAGCCAACAGTAACCAATGCACACTACTGAAATCCTGTTTTCAGACCTTCCCCCATATGCTTATGTCTGATATCCATCAATCAAACTCTCTTTTCCTGAAACATAACATGCATTGCCATCCTTCCCTGATCTCTGTGTACCTACCCATGTTAGATTCTGATCCAGCCACTTTTCCATAACAATTTCTGTGCTTGTCAGAATAGTCAAGGACAGTGCTTCTCAAACTTTAATAACTATATGAAACGTGAGGAGAGCATGTTAAAATGCAGATTCAGCCCTGGCCAGTTTGGCTCAGTGGATAGAACATCAGCCTGCGGGACTGAAGAGTCCTGGGTTCGATTCCAGTCAAGGGCACATACCCAGGTTGCGGGCTCGATCCCCAGTAGGGGGCAAGCAGGAGGCAGCCGATCAATGATTCTCTCTCATCATTGATGTTTCTATCTCTCTCCCTCTCCCTTCCTCTCTGATCAATAAAAATATTTTAAAAATTAAAATAAAATGCAGATTCACATTTGGTGGGTATGGAGCAGGAACTGAGAGTTTGCATATTTAATAAGCTCTCAGATGCTGTTGGTCCAAGGATCCCACTTTGAGAAACAACATCATCCTATAGAAACAAACAGATCCAAAGTCTCAGTGACTTAACATGATAATAAAAGTTTATTTTTCCATCATGCTACATGTTCTGCACAAAGTAGCAGGGAGTCTCATTGTAATTACTCAAGGACCCAAGATAATGGAAGCCCTATCCTAAAACATACTTGCATGTGCATTTCTATTTCACTCACAATTCATTTGCCAAAATAAGTCCCATGGTCTAACATCAAAGTGAGCTGGAGAAATCCAATTCTACCAATTACCTAGAAGGAGGTGAACTGGACATTGGTGAACAGCACCTATTGTGTGGTCATTCAGTGTCTCTGCCCTCAAGGAGCTAATAAACTTAAGAACTCTAAGAATGAACTTGTGTGGAATAGCTATGTGAAACGAGGGAATGCATTCCCACATCAGTAGTACTGATACTCACAGGTGGTTGTGGGGCACATAGCAGAATTTTGCGATGAGGGGATACGTTTGGAAAAGACCCTAAGCTAAGATTAGGACATATTTAGCTCTTTCTTCCTTCCCCATTGACAATAATTATTGTGCAAAATTTGAGAGAGGAAATATTAGAACTAAAGTGAGATTAATATATAAGCATATTTTATATGTCCTTGAAGGATGGGTTAGATATGCATCGTTGTAGAGAAAAGGGGAACATGAGATCAGAAAGTACTTGGGGAAAAGCTGCCCTTTGGTTGGTGAAATAGCTTG